GGACAGGGAGATCCTAACTATAAGAGTTGTGTGGACAGGGAGATGCTAACTATAAGAGTTGTGTGGACACAGGGAGATCCTAACTATAAGAGTTGTGTGGACACAGGGAGATCCTAACTATAAGAGTTGTGTGGACACAGGGAGATCCTAACTATAAAAGTTGTGTGGACACAGGGAGATCCTAACTATAAGAGTTGTGTGGACAGGGAGATCCTAACTATAAGAGTTGTGTGGACAGGGAGATCCTTACTATAAAAGAGGGGTGGACACAGGGAGATCCTAACTATAAAAGTTGTGTGGACACAGGGAGATCCTAACTATAAGAGTTGTGTGGACAGGGAGATCCTAACTATAAAAGAGGGGTGGACACAGGGAGATCCTAACTATAAGAGTTGTGTGGACACAGGGAGATCCTAACTATAAAAGAGGGGTGGACACAGGGAGATCCTAACTATAAAAGTTGTGTGGACACAGGGAGATCCTAACTATAAAAGTTGTGTGGACAGGGAGATCCTAACTATAAGAGTTGTGTGGACAGGGAGATCCTAACTATAAAAGAGGGGTGGACACAGGGAGATCCTAACTATAAAAGTTGTGTGGACAGGGAGATCCTAACTATAAGAGTTGTGTGGACAGGGAGATGCTAACTATAAGAGTTGTGTGGACACAGGGAGATCCTAACTATAAGAGTTGTGTGGACACAGGGAGATCCTAACTATAAGAGTTGTGTGGACACAGGGAGATCCTAACTATAAAAGTTGTGTGGACACAGGGAGATCCTAACTATAAGAGTTGTGTGGACACAGGGAGATCCTAACTATAAGAGTTGTGTGGACACAGGGAGATCCTAACTATAAAAGTTGTGTGGACACAGGGAGATCCTAACTATAAGAGTTGTGTGGACACAGGGAGATCCTAACTATAAGAGTTGTGTGGACACAGGGAGATCCTAACTATAAGAGTTGTGTGGACAGGGAGATCCTAACTATAAGAGTTTTGTGGACAGGGAGATCCTAACTATAAAAAATGTGTGGACACAGGGAGACCCTAACTGTAAGAGTTGTGTGGACACAGGGAGATCCTAACTATAAGAGTTGTGTGGACACAGGGAGATCCTAACTATAAGAGTTGTGTGGACACAGGGAGATCCTAACTATAAAAGAGGGGTGGACACAGGGATATCCTAACTATAAGAGTTGTGTGGACACAGGGAGATCCTAACTATAAGAGTTTTGTGGACAGGGAGATCCTAACTATAAAAAATGTGTGGACACAGGGAGACCCTAACTGTAAGAGTTGTGTGGACACAGGGAGATCCTAACTATAAGAGTTGTGTGGACACAGGGAGATCCTAACTATAAGAGTTGTGTGGACACAGGGAGATCCTAACTATAAAAGAGGGGTGGACACAGGGATATCCTAACTATAAGAGTTGTGTGGACACAGGGAGATGCTAACTATAAGAGTTGTGTGGACAGGGAGATCCTAACTATAAGAGTTGTGTGGACACAGGGAGATCCTAACTATAAAAGAGGGGTGGACACAGGGAGATCCTAACTATAAGAGTTGTGTGGACACAGGGAGATCCTAACTATAAGAGTTGTGTGGACACAGGGAGATCCTAACTATAAGAGTTGTGTGGACAGGGAGATCCTAACTATAGAAGAGGGGTGGACACAGGGAGATCCTAACTATAAGAGTTGTGTGGACAGGGAGATCCTAACTATAAGAGTTGTGTGGACACAGGGAGATCCTAACTATAGAAGAGGGGTGGACACAGGGAGATCCTAACTATAAGAGTTGTGTGGACAGGGAGATCCTAACTATAAGAGTTGTGTGGACAGGGAGATCCTAACTATAGAAGAGGGGTGGACACAGGGAGATCCTAACTATAAGAGTTGTGTGGACAGGGAGATCCTAACTATAAAAGTTGTGTGGACAGGGAGATCCTAACTATAAAAGAGGGGTGGACACAGGGAGATCCTAACTATAAGAGTTGTGTGGACAGGGAGATCCTAACTATAAAAGAGGGGTGGACACAGGGAGATCCTAACTATAAGAGTTGTGTGGACAGGGAGATCCTAACTATAAAAGAGGGGTGGACACAGGGAGATCCTAACTATAAGAGTTGTGTGGACACAGGGAGATCCTAACTATAAGAGTTGTGTGGACACAGGGAGATCCTAACTATAAGAGTTGTGTGGACAGGGAGATCCTAACTATAAAAGAGGGGTGGACACAGGGAGATCCTAACTATAAGAGTTGTGTGGACACAGGGAGATCCTAACTATAAGAGTTGTGTGGACAGGGAGATCCTAACTATAAAAGAGGGGTGGACACAGGGAGATCCTAACTATAAGAGTTGTGTGGACACAGGGAGATCCTAACTATAAGAGTTGTGTGGACACAGGGAGATCCTAACTATAAAAGTTGTGTGGACACAGGGAGATCCTAACTATAAGAGTTGTGTGGACAGGGAGATCCTAGCTATAAAAGAGGGGTGGACACAGGGAGATCCTAACTATAAAAGTTGTGTGGACACAGGGAGATCCTAACTATAAGAGTTGTGTGGACACAGGGAGATCCTAACTATAAGAGTTGTGTGGACACAGGGAGATCCTAACTATAAGAGTTGTGTGGACACAGGGAGATCCTAACTATAAGAGTTGTGTGGACACAGGGAGATCCTAACTATAAAAGAGGGGTGGACACAGGGATATCCTAACTATAAGAGTTGTGTGGACACAGGGAGATCCTAACTATAAGAGTTGTGTGGACAGGGAGATGCTAACTATAAGAGTTGTGTGGACAGGGAGATCCTAACTATAAAAGTTGTGTGGACAGGGAGATCCTAACTATAAGAGTTGTGTGGACACAGGGAGATCCTAACTATAAAAGTTGTGTGGACACAGGGAGATCCTAACTATAAGAGTTGTGTGGACACAGGGAGATCCTAACTATAAGAGTTGTGTGGACAGGGAGATCCTAACTATAGAAGAGGGGTGGACACAGGGAGATCCTAACTATAAAAGTTGTGTGGACAGGGAGATCCTAACTATAAGAGTTGTGTGGACAGGGAGATCCTAACTATAAGAGTTGTGTGGACAGGGAGATCCTAACTATAAGAGTTTTGTGGACAGGGAGATCCTAACTATAAAAGTTGTGTGGACAGGGAGATCCTAACTATAAGAGTTGTGTGGACAGGGAGATCCTAACTATAAGAGTTGTGTGGACACAGGGAGATCCTAACTATAAAAGTTGTGTGGACAGGGAGATCCTAACTATAAGAGTTGTGTGGACACAGGGAGATCCTAACTATAAGAGTTGTGTGGACAGGGAGATCCTAACTATAAGAGTTGTGTGGACAGGGAGATCCTAACTATAAGAGTTGTGTGGACACAGGGAGATCCTAACTATAAGAGTTGTGTGGACACAGGGAGATCCTAACTATAAGAGTTGTGTGGACACAGGGAGATCCTAACTATAAGACTTGTGTGGACACAGGGAGATCCTAACTATAAGAGTTGTGTGGACACAGGGAGATCCTAACTATAAGAGTTGTGTGGACACAGGGAGATCCTAACTATAAGAGTTGTGTGGACACAGGGAGATCCTACAGATGCAAGTTTGACTTCTACACTCAAGGCTTTTGGTAACAGATGGGCACTCTACCACTGCACCATGCACAAATCAGCACTCTACCACTGCACCATGCACAAATCAGCACTCTACCACTGCACCATGCACAAATCAGCACTCTACCACTGCACCATGCACAAATGAGCATTCTACCACTGCACCATGCACAAATCAGCACTCTACCACTGCACCATACTGTCCCATCAGTTGGGTTCAAACAATCCATCACATTTTTAAAGTAGATTGTTTGGACAATCTCATTCAGGGGAAGTAATTGTATTTTTTTTAAATACAAAAAATTTAAAATCAATGCCCTCTAAAATATATGTAACAAAAGTTTTATCATTATAGAATGGAAACAATGTGAACATTTATTGTGATTTAAAAGACTAAATAAGCACTATTTTTTTCAAATGTATCTAAAGTGAATTGAAAAGTTATGAATGTGAAATCTTCCTATTGCTTTTGCTTTTTACAAGCTTTTATTTAACTCACTTCCTCTGTCGTCGACAGTCTGTCTGTCTAGATAGAAACGCAGGAGTGAAAATTCGGACAGTTCTACTTGACCGATACGATTCACACTTGGCACGTGGGTCAAGACATGAAGACAATGCAATCTGAAACTAAATTTGACTTAATTGGATGCCTAATTAAATTTTTATGAATTAATAAAAATTTGGACCGAATTAGTAGGCATGTCTAGCCAACCACACCACATGCGTCATCACCTTCAATAGCTGCGCCATCACGTAATGGCTGCGTTCAAAAACCATTGCGCGCCTACTGAACGTGATGTTCAGTAGGCGCGCAATGGTTTTTAGTCATGTAACTCTATTGTAAATAAAACATGTAAAGTACTGAAAAAAAAATTCATAAAAAACGTTTTAATAACAAGCTTTTATGTAATGATGCACTAAAAAGTAGAAAATAAATTATAGACTACTATTTAAATAACTATAAAGAAAAGCGTGGGTGTCTTCCTTAACATTAGTAAAGGTATCCAATAGATACTAAAGTGACCCACGCTTTTCTTTATAGTTATTTAAATAGTAGTCTATAATTTATTTTCTACTTTTTAGTGCATCATTACATAAAAGCTTGTTATTAAAACGTTTTTTATGAATTTTTTACAAATGTGAAATGACTGTTTTTACTGGTTTGAAAAGCTCAAACAGCTAAAGGAGAAAAACTGACTGATCAAACATGCACCAGAAGCTGCTGATTTGTTCCCAACATATTATCTGGTTTTTGTCATTAATTACAGTTAATTGCATGCTTGCTTTTTAATATAATGTTTGCATTTTTTTTAAAAGATGGAAAGGTAGGCCTATCAGAAAAGTATATAATTGCTATTCTAATACCTTGATAGAATCTAGACCTTGAAGCCTCTCCCAGTTAAGACAGCCTTCCTGTGCCCTCCAAGTTTCTTCAGCCATTCTTTCAAGATCCTGAAACAAAACTAAAAATGAGTCGTCATTCACAAATGAAGACCACAGTTGTCACAGTTCTCTACTTTTGAGAAAAATTAGATTTTGTCACATTTAGTGTTTGAGATCCTTTACTATTCCATTGTGGCATGATTTTAAAATCCTAAATATTGAGTCTACACAATATATTTGTGTCTATATGATACCCACCACAGTGTTGTGAATGGACCTAAGTGGATGGAATGAGTTTGAGAGTATGTGTGTAGTTCAATGGAGTTAATAAAGTTGTGGATGGTTTGAGAGTATGTGTGTAGTTGAATGGAGTTAATAAAGTTGTGGATGGTTTGAGAGTATGTGTGTAGTGGTGTTAATAAAAGATTATGAATGCGTGAATAAATAAGGATGTGACGTAAGAGAGAATGTTTTCGTTGTTATGAAGATAGTTGGAAGTTAGTCTTGGTCTTGTCGTTGTCTTGTGAGGATGTCTAGAAGTCGTCGTCTATTGTTCGTAACCTTCAGCATCGACCCGTACTGAAACTCACTTCGCAACACACAGAATGGCTTGATGACACAGGAAATCATCTCACTTTATATTAATAGCCCTCTCCTTGCAAGGTAGAATATCATTTTTGTTTACATTTAGAATGAAATGAACCACTGAGCAACTTGCTTTTACTTTAACTTTCTTTCAGTTCTAAGCTATTAGGAAACTTAAAACTGATTTCACCTCAACAGTAAGGCTTTTAATTTGGGAGAGTCTAGATTCTATACTCACCTCAACAGTAAGGCTTTCAATTTGGGAGAGTCTAGATTCTATACTCACCTCAACAGTAAGGCTTTCAATTTGGAGAGTCTAGATTCTATACTCACCTCAACAGTAAGGCTTTCAATTTGGGAGAGTCTAGATTCTATAGCCAGACTCCTCCTATGGTAAAAGGATTCTGTGTAGAAGTCCAATGGAAACATCTGAAATGGACTGTGGAATGCATCTGGCAGTGGCATGTAGATAATGTCCCAGAAAAATAACATGAAGAGTGCAGACAAAATGGAACCTTCAGCATGTACACCTGCAAGTACAAATTATACACATGAGAGATACAGGCAAGTAAATAAATCAGTGGGTAGGTGGATAGTAAAGTAGTGGGTAGGTGGATAGTAAAGTAGTGGGTAGGTGGATAGTAGAGTGGGTAGGTGGATAGTAAAGTGGGTAGGTGGATAGTAAAGTGGGTAGGTGGATAGTAAAGTAGTGGGTAGGTGGATAGTAAAGTGGGTAGGTGGATAGTAAAGTGGGTAGGTGGATAGTAAAGTGGGTAGGTGGATAGTAAAGTAGTGGGTAGGTGGATAGTAAAGTGGGTAGGTGGATAGTAAAGTAGTGGGTAGGTGGATAGTAAAGTAGTGGGTAGGTGGATAGTAAAGTGGGTAGGTGGATAGTAAAGTGGGTAGGTGGATAGTAAAGTGGGTAGGTGGACAGTAAAGTAGTGGGTAGGTGGATAGTAAAGTGGGTAGGTGGATAGTAAAGTGGGTAGGTGGATAGTAAAGTGGGTAGGTGGACAGTAAAGTAGTGGGTAGGTGGATAGTAAAGTGGGTAGGTGGACAGTAAAGTAGTGGGTAGGTGGATAGTAATGAGTGCCGGTGAAAAGGTTAAAGTGGGTTGAACTACCTGAAGTGAAACCATTTTTCTTGTAATATTCCAGCACCAATTCTTCTACTCCACATACCACCATGTCTTGACCTTGACCTTCCCAGCTGGAGAGAAATTTTGTTCCGTTTCTACTGACATTTTCATGCAACACACGACCTTCAATGAAAACCTGTAAACCAAAACAGTTAATAGACACAATTCTCACTCACCTATACACAAACTGTAAACCTAACTCACAAAGTGATTTTAACTACAAACCTATACACAAACTGTAAACCTAACTCACAAAGTGATTTTAAGTACAAACACTAGCACAATAATTGTTGTCAAATGGTTTATATAGCATACATCTCTGTGAGTTAACCTAAACCCCCACATTTTATAGCATACATCTCTGTGAGTTAACCTAAACCCCCCACATTTTATAGCATACATCTCTGTGAGTTAACCTAAAGCCCCACATTTCATAGCATACATCAGTGTGAGTTAACCTAAACCCCCACATTTTATAGCATACATCTCTGTGAGTTAACCTAAACCCCCCACATTTTATAGCATACATCTCTGTGAGTTAACCTAAACCCCCACATTTTATAGCATACATCTCTGTGAGTTAACCTAAACCCCCCACATTTTATAGCATACATCTCTGTGAGTTAACCTAAACCCCCACATTTTATAGCATACATCTCTGTGAGTTAACCTAAACCCCCACATTTTATAGCATACATCTCTGTGAGTTAACCTAAAGCCTTACTTTAGGAATCTCCATAAGTGGCTCATGAGAAAACTCTTTTATCTTGTCTGTCCACTTGTGCCTGCCACATATGGCCTCTGCCCTCTCATATAGGGCCAGTCTGTGATCAACACCAACATGCCCATCAGCCAGACCATCAGCAACAGCTTCTAGTGACTAAAACACACAAACACATGACTAAATCAGACATGTTTTAGATCTTCTAGTGACTAAAACACATTACACAAACACATGACTAAATCAGACATGTTTTAGATCTTCTAGTGACTAAAACACATTACACAAACACATGACTAAATCAGACATGTTTTAGATCTTCTAGTGACTAAAACACATTACAGAAACACATGACTAAATCAGACATGTTTTAGATCTTCTAGTGACTAAAACACATTACACAAACACATGACTAAATCAGACATGTTTTAGATCTTCTAGTGACTAAAACACATTACACAAACACATGACTAAATCAGACATGTTTTAGATCTTCTAGTGACTAAAACACATTACAGAAACACATGACTAAATCAGACATGTTTTAGATCTTCTAGTGACTAAAACACATTACACAAACACATGACTAAATCAGACATGTTTTAGATCTTCTAGTGACTAAAACACATTACAGAAACACATGACTAAATCAGACATGTTTTAGATCTTCTAGTGACTAAAACACATTACAGAAACACATGACTAAATCAGACATGTTTTAGATCTTCTAGTGACTAAAACACATTACAGAAACACATGACTAAATCAGACATGTTTTAGATCTTCTAGTGACTAAAACACATTACACAAACACATGACTAAATCAGACATGTTTTAGATCTTCTAGTGACTAAAACACATTACAGAAACACATGACTAAATCAGACATGTTTTAGATCTTCTAGTGACTAAAACACATTACACAAACACATGACTAAATCAGACATGTTTTAGATCTTCTAGTGACTAAAACACATTACACAAACACATGACTAAATCAGACATGTTTTAGATCTTCTAGTGACTAAAACACATTACACAAACACATGACTAATTCAGACATGTTTTAGATCTTCTAGTGACTAAAACACATTACACAAACACATGACTAAATCAGACATGGTTTAGATCTTCTAGTGACTAAAACACATTACAGAAACACATGACTAAATCAGACATGGTTTAGATCTTCTAGTGACTAAAACACATTACAGAAACACATGACTAAATCAGACATGGTTTAGATCTTCTAGTGACTAAAACACATTACACAAACACATGACTAAATCAGAATTGTTTTAGATCTCCTAGTGACTAAAACACATTACACAAACACATGACTAAATCAGAATTGTTTTAGATCTCCTAGTGACTAAAACACATTACACAAACACATGACTAAATCAGACATGTTTTAGATCTTCTAGTGACTAAAACACATTACACAAACACATGACTAAATCAGACATGTTTCAGATCTTCTAGTGACTAAAACACATTACACAAACACATGACTAAATCAGACATGTTTTAGATCTTCTAGTGACTAAAACACATTACAGAAACACATGACTAAATCAGACATGTTTTAGATCTTCTAGTGACTAAAACACATTACACAAACACATGACTAAATCAGACATGTTTTAGATCTTCTAGTGACTAAAAACACATTACACAAACACATGACTAAATCAGACATGTTTTCGATCTTCTAGTGACTAAAACACATTAAACACACACATGACTAATTCAGACATGGGTTAGATCTTCTAGTGACTAAAACACATTAAACACACACATGACTAAATCAGACATGGGTTAGATCTTCTAGTGACTAAAACACATTAAACACACACATGACTAAATCAGACATGTTTTAGATCTTCTAGTGACTAAAACACATTACAGAAACACATGACTAAATCAGACATGTTTTAGATCTTCTAGTGACTAAAACACATTACACAAACACATGACTAAATCAGACATGTTTTAGATCTTCTAGTGACTAAAACACATTACACAAACACATGACTAAATCAGACATGTTTTAGATCTTCTAGTGACTAAAACACATTACAGAAACACATGACTAAATCAGACATGTTTTAGATCTTCTAGTGACTAAAACACATTACACAAACACATGACTAAATCAGACATGTTTTAGATCTTCTAGTGACTAAAACACATTACAGAAACACATGACTAAATCAGACATGTTTTAGATCTTCTAGTGACTAAAACACATTACACAAACACATGACTAATTCAGACATGTTTTAGATCTTCAAGTGACTAAAACACATTACACAAACACATGACTAAATCAGACATGGTTTAGATCTTCTAGTGACTAAAACACATTACAGAAACACATGACTAAATCAGACATGGTTTAGATCTTCTAGTGACTAAAACACATTACAGAAACACATGACTAAATCAGACATGGTTTAGATCTTCTAGTGACTAAAACACATTACACAAACACATGACTAAATCAGAATTGTTTTAGATCTCCTAGTGACTAAAACACATTACACAAACACATGACTAAATCAGAATTGTTTTAGATCTCCTAGTGACTAAAACACATTACACAAACACATGACTAAATCAGACATGTTTTAGATCTTCTAGTGACTAAAACACATTACACAAACACATGACTAAATCAGACATGTTTCAGATCTTCTAGTGACTAAAACACATTACACAAACACATGACTAAATCAGACATGTTTTAGATCTTCTAGTGACTAAAACACATTACAGAAACACATGACTAAATCAGACATGTTTTAGATCTTCTAGTGACTAAAACACATTACACAAACACATGACTAAATCAGACATGTTTTAGATCTTCTAGTGACTAAAAACACATTACACAAACACATGACTAAATCAGACATGTTTTCGATCTTCTAGTGACTAAAACACATTAAACACACACATGACTAATTCAGACATGGGTTAGATCTTCTAGTGACTAAAACACATTAAACACACACATGACTAAATCAGACATGGGTTAGATCTTCTAGTGACTAAAACACATTAAACACACACATGACTAAATCAGACATGTTTTAGATCTTCTAGTGACTAAAACACATTACACAAACACATGACTAATTCAGACATGTTTTAGATCTTCTAGTGACTAAAACACATTAAACACACACATGACTAAATCAGACATGGTTTAGATCTTCTAGTGACTAAAACACATTACACAAACACATGACTAATTCAGACATGTTTTAGATCTTCTAGTGACTAAAACACATTACAGAAACACATGACTAATTCAGACATGTTTTAGATCTTCTAGTGACTAAAACACATTACACAAACACATGACTAATCTTATATCTATATATATAATTCTCTTCTTCGAGCCGTTAGAAAACAAGCTGCAAACGCTCTCCCTACCTCCCCACCCCTACATGGTTTTAGTGAGCTGTGTTCACTCTAAATGTTTACAAGCAGAGCCAACGATTTTAAACATAGGGGGGGGGGAGAAGGGGGGAGGGAAGGAAGGGGGGGGGTTATGGTCCTTAACGAGCTACTTATAGTGTTTTAAAGAAATATTTTCAGTGTCAGCGTTGGTACTGTCGAATTCACAAATTATGAATTATTGAAAATTAGAAACAACTAAATAGCGGCGTATGTTATGCCGCGGGCCGGCTCGTTCAGACATGTTTTAGATCTTCTAGTGACTAAAACACATTACACAAACACATGACTAAATCAGACATGTTTTAGATCTTCTAGTGACTAAAACACATTACACAAACACATGACTAAATCAGACATGTTTTAGATCTTCTAGTGACTAAAACACATTACACAAACACATGACTAAATAAGACATGGTTTAGATCTTCTAGTGACTAAAACACATTACAGAAACACATGACTAAATCAGACATGTTTTAGATCTTTGAGTGACTAAAACACATTACACAAACACATGACTAAATCAGACATGGTTTAGATCTTCTAGTGACTAAAACACATTACACAAACACATGACTAAATAAGACATGTTTTAGATCTTCTAGTGACTAAAACACATTACACAAACACATGACTAAATCAGACATGTTTTAGATCTTCTAGTGACTAAAACACATTACACAAACACATGACTAAATCAGACATGATTTAGATCTTCTAGTGACTAAAACACATTACACAAACACATGACTAAATCAGACATGTTTTAGATCTTCTAGTGACTAAAACACATTACAGAAACACATGACTAAATCAGACATGTTTTAGATCTTCTAGTGACTAAAACACATTACACAAACACATGACTAAATCAGACATGTTTTAGATCTTCTAGTGTTTAAAACACATTACACAAACACATGACTAAATCAGACAATTTTTAGATCTTCTAGTGACTAAAACACATTACACAAACACATGACTAAATCAGACATGTTTCAGATCTTCTAGTGACTAAAACACATTACACAAACACATGACTAAATCATAAATGTTTTAGTCTGTGTTTGTATGTGGTGGAAAAGTTTGTCTGTTTGTGGAAGAAAAACCTGCAGTGGGATCACCTTGTTTATATTATTACGTTAATTAAGGGTTGAATTCTAATCCGATTTTTATCTTTGAAAAAATCTATAAAAAAAATGGGAGTGATCTCCCGTAAACTTTCTTTTATAATCTTTTATTACAGTAAGGGGATAACACTTTTAGAGCAATCAGGCTATAGAAATATAGAAGTTTGTGACAAAACTGCTCATTTTGTTTTAAAGAAAACTTATAGAAATGAAATATACTTTAGGAGAATTAGGTAAAAAACTATCAAATTCTGAAGGTCATTGAGAAATGGAAATTAGTAATATTGTTAGCTTGGGTTAGGGTCAGGGCTTAGCAATATTTTTACACAAGTATCACGAGCACAGTTGTGAACACCTTCTCATGGGTGTGAAAGAAAATGACGTCGTTAAATAAAAATTGTGAACACCTTTCCATGGGTGTGAAAGAAAATGACATCGTTTAATAAAAATTGTGAACACCTTCCCATGGGTTTGAAAGAAAATGACATCGTTTAATAAAAGGGAGCTCAAGGCCAATTGAGTTTAATTGAATTTAAACTATTAAAAAGACCTAAGTAGGTCACATTATGATAGTGGTTTTTTTATTCACAGTCAATTGAAACAAGACAGGTGGTTGTATATCTTACCAGCAATATGAAAACCTGGCATTCTATAGAATACCTAGACAATATATACAATCTATGTTGTTTTTAGGCAAGGTATGAAATATCAGCATTGTTATATACTTTTCCAAGGCCTTACATAACATACCTTGGCATTATGACAAGAATGACAAGACCTGCTTAGGTTAAGTGTTAAATGCCCAGACTGTAAATTGGTTTTTAGTAACAAGCAGTCAAAAAATGAAAGAAAAAATACAAAAATGAACAACAGGAAATCTTTACTTGGAGAAGAAGGAAGGCTAGAATGACATTTTGAATTGCACTTCATTTTCTTTCTAATCCTAACAAAGATGTTCTAGCAAGAAAGTGTATTCTACACTCTGCCTCTTTGTTATTTAGTATTCTATAGACTAAGAAATGTATGAAATATATGATCGAATTATGATGTATTTCAAAGTTTGACTATCCATTTCAGGCATTAGATATAAAGTGCCTGTGTTTCCACTTTGCTGGTGATATAAAGATCAAAATAAGCCTCATAGAAAGGTAGTGGTAAACTTTTACTTTAACTCAAAATATATTTTAAAAATTGAACAGCAACTAGGACACAGAGAAAACATCAATCAAATTTAGTTTTCCTGAGGAGAGGAGTGGAAAGTGAGGGTGAGGATTATTGTCCTTTACTGGCTACTGATAGTGTTTTAAAGCAAAATATTTTCAGTCACAGCATTGGTAGTGTTGAATTCACAAATTATTAATTACTAAAAATAGGAATTAAACTAAATAGTGGCGTATGCTACGGTGTGGGTCAGCTCGTCAGTTATATTAGAGTTAAATTGGGCTTCTGAGTTGGATTTAATGTTAAGGTTAGATTAGAACTAGATTTTAATTCACAAATTTAATAATATGTTGGATTTAAAAACAATCTGAACTGAATCAATAATTTTAAATATAGAGAAAGCAAATACCAAAGGTAATTAAAAAAGTATGTAAAACATCTTATTTTATTAAATTTAACACAAACTATGTTTTAAATCACCAATATTTCTGTAGTATGAATTAATAATTTTCCACATGTTATAATTTTTTAAAGTTATTATTTAATTTTTACCTTAAGATCTGTAAACTTATAAATTTTACAGCATGCAATTGTAAAATATGTAAGCATTATTGAATGTAAAACATCTGACAATAAGTGAACTAGAATAAACACATGTGATTCTGTTAATCTTAAAATGGCCAGGATGACACCTAGCTAGGAAAAAAAAATAACGTTGGATAAATAGTGTTAGGAAATATACTTTCTAAATGAATGAGCCCAAAATAAATAATTTTGACCTCAATGCTAATAGAAATCTTCTATGTATTTTGGCTTTTTATTATAGTAAGCTAATTAGTTTTATTTTCTGTAAGGTCTGGGGCAAATATGTGGAGCTGTTATGGTCAACAGTATATATGTAAAGCTAAAAGGTCAGGTTCAAATATGTAAAGTTGTAAGGTTAGGGACAAAAATGTCACGCTAAAGGTCAGATTCAAATATGTAAAATTGTAAGGTAAGGGACAAAAAAGGTCAGATTCAAATATGTAAAGTTGTAAGGTAAGGGACCAAAATGTCACGCTAAAAGGTCAGGTTTAAATATGTAAAATTGTAAGGTTAGGGACAAAAATGTCACGCTAAAAGGTCAGATTCAAATATGTAAAGTTGTAAGGTTAGGGACCAAAATGTCACGCTAAAAGGTCAGATTCAAATATGTAAAGTTGTAAGGTTAGGGACAAAAATGTCACGCTAAAAGGTCAGGTTTAAATATGTAAAATTGTAAGGTTAGGGACAAAAATGTCACGCTAAAAGGTCAGATTCAAATATGTAAAGTTGTAAGGTTAGGGACCAAAATGTCACGCTAAAAGGTCAGATTCAAATATGTAAAGTTGTAAGGTTAGGGACAAAAATGTCACGCTAAAAGGTCAGGTTTAAATATGTAAAATTGTAAGGTTAGGGACAAAAATGTCACGCTAAAAGGTCAGGTTTAAATATGTAAAATTGTAAGGTTAGGGACAAAAATGTCACGCTAAAAGGTCAGATTCAAATATGTAAAATTGTAAGGTTAGGGACCAAAATGTCACGCTAAAAGGTCAGGTTTAAATATGTAAAATTGTAAGGTTAGGGACAAAAATGTCACGCTAAAAGGTCAGATTCAAATATGTAAAGTTGTAAGGTTAGGGACCAAAATGTCACGCTAAAAGGTCAGATTCAAATATGTAAAGTTGTAAGGTTAGGGACAAAAATGTCACGCTAAAAGGTCAGATTCAAATATGTAAAGTTGTAAGGTTAGGGACAAAAATGTCACGCTAAAAGGTCAGATTCAAATATGTAAAGTTGTAAGGTTAGGGACAAAAATGTCACGCTAAAAGGTCAGATTCAAATATGTAAAGTTGTAAGGTTAGGGACAAAAATGTCACGCTAAAAGGTCAGATTCAAATATGTAAAATTGTAAGGTTAGGGACAAAAATGTCACGCTAAAAGGTCAGATTCAAATATGTAAAGTTGTAAGGTTAGGGACAAAAATGTCACGCTAAAAGGTCAGGTTGTGATGGTTGTGTTAACCCACAAGAAGTGACTAGAAAAAAAATGTTAGAGAAAAAAAAAGGGACCTGTAGTGGTAACTTGAGATGAACATCCAAGTTTAATGCTAGTCTCTCCCACCAATATCCCCTGTGGCTGGTGTTGTAAGTGGACTGGGACAAGAGCTGCTTGAGTACAGACACAGCCTGGGTGTATTGCTTGCGTCTCTGGAGGGTTTCTACACTCAGGCTAAGCAGCCGGTTCAACACAGATGATGCTGTGAAGGATCGCAGGAAATCTGGGAGCTTGACATTCCATCTGCAATTACAGTTCCTCTGCATTAACATTAACAATGTCTGCATCAGTAACAAACATTTTCAATAACAAAATCCTCAATATTAATAATATGTCTGCCTCAATGTCTTCACCAACATTTGAATCGACAAGCAACAACTGCACCAACAAAATGTGAAATATCTGAATGTACACTAAGTAAAGCTAGATTGTTTTTTCTCCATTGAAAATAATGCAGCTTACAATAGGAATGCTGTTAATGTATTGAACTTGTTGCTTGTATTGAACTTTGATGAAAAGAAAGACAGCACACTCACACATGAACCTCCTCAAGGTGCTCTAGAGCTTGCCAATCTGCTTCAACTTTTTGAAAGATCTCAAAGGCCTTATCCCAATGGCCCTTTTGGGTGCAGCTCAGCAATTCAAATTCTAATTGCAGTGCTTTTTCCAATCTGAAATGTTAAGTGCTAGAATTTTGACATGGTTTTAAATCTAAAAGATGGATATAGTTCTGCTAGGATTTTGACATGGTTTTAAATCTAAAAGATGGATATAGTTCTGCTAGGATTTTGACATGGTTTTAAATCTAAGAGATGGATATAGTTCTGCTAGGATTTTAACATGGTTTTAAATCTAAGAGATGGATATAGTTCTGCTAAAAAGTTAGGACCATCTCAAATACAAACGTAACCCTAACCCTAACATCACAATGACCTGACAACATCTTCTCTCCCTTGAAATATGTTCTGAAGTTTGTCAATAGTGTAGGAAGGGTAGACAGCTTTACCCATGTTGACCATAAACATCTGAAATCTGAAACAAAGATCAAGTCAATAGCAAAGTTTGGATAGTTTCACCTACCAAGCTAAAGATTACGTAAATAGCGAAGTTTGGATAGTTTCACCTACCAAGCAAAAGATCAAGTCAATAGCAAAGTTTGGATAGTTTCACCTACCAAGCTAAAGATCAAGTCAATAGCGAAGTTTGGATAGTTTCACCTACCAAGCTAAAGATTAAGTCAATAGCGAAGTTTGGATAGTTTCACCTACCAAGCTAAAGATCAAGTCAATAGCAAAGTTTGGATAGTTTCAGTTTCACTTACCAAGCTAAAGATTACGTCAATAGCAAAGTTTGAATAGTTTCACCTACCAAGCTAAAGATCAAGTCAAAAGCGAAGTTTGGATAGTTTCAACTACCAAGCTAAAGATCAAGTCAATAGTGAAGTTTGGATAGTTTCACCTACCAAGCTAAAGATAAAGTCAATAGCGAAGTTTGGATAGTTTCACCTACCAAGCTAAAGATCAAGTCAATAGCGAAGTTTGGATAGTTTCACCTACCAAGCTAAAGATAAAGTCAATAGCGAAGTTTGGATAGTTTCACCTACCAAGCTTAAGATTACGTCAATAGCGAAGTTTGGATAGTTTCACCAACGAAGCTAAAGATCAAGTCAATAGCGAAGTTTGGATAGTTTCACCTACCAAGCTAAAGATCAAGTCAATAGCGAAGTTTGGATAGTTTCACCTACCAAGCAAAAGATCAAGTGAATAGCGAAGTTTGGATAGTTTCACCTACCAAGCTAAAGATCAAGTCAATAGCGAAGTTTGGATAGTTTCACTTACCAAGCTAAAGATTACGTCAATAGCAAAGTTTGAATAGTTTCACCTACCAAGCTAAAGATTAAGTCAATAGCGAAGTTTGGATAGTTTCACCTACCAAGCTAAAGATTACGCCAATAACAAAGAATGGATAGTTACACCTACCAAGCTAAAGATAAGGTCTCATGTTTATCAAGCTTTTGCCCATGAGTTCAGTAATTTGAGTTCAGTATATTTGAGTATATCTTTTTCAATAAACAATATTGATGGGCTTTCAAAAGTGAGACAAATCTAGATGGGCTGTCTAAGGACAAGACACACCTTAATGATTGTCTAAGCACAACAAGACACACCTTAATGTAGCTTGAAACTTACAGCTGAGCTTGACCATTAGTCTCTGCTGTGTGTCCACCAGTGCTAGCCAGCGAGGACAACAAGAGAACTCTAAGAAAAAGTTTTCTTGGCTCTAGACTCAGCTTGTAAACCCCTTGTAAAAACTTTTTGGCTCTGAGAAGACAGGGCAAAGTGGTTGGTATATATGGTTAGGCTGGTCAATGTGTTGGTCAATGTGTTGGTCAGGCTGCTCAATGTGTTGGTCAGGCTGGTCAATGTGTTGGTCAGGCTGGTCGATGTGTTGGTCGATGTGTTGGACAATGTGTTGGACAATGTGTTGGACAATGTGTTGGACAATGTGTTGGTCAATGTGTTGGTCAATGTATTGGTCAATGTGTTGGTCAATGTGTTGGTCAATGTGTTGGTCAGGCTGGTCAATGTGTTGGTCAATGTGTTGGTCAGGCTGGTCAATGTGTTTGCTAACCTTGCCAGCATGACTGTAGCTACTCCTCCAGATTTGGAGCCAAACATGCTCATGAAAGTATTCTGTTTGCATTTCCTCATGAGTTCTTCCAGCAACTGTTTTTTGTTGCTCAGGTTTGGCCTGACATGGTATAGCTTGGCTAGAGTTCTTATATCTGAGGCTGTTAGAGAAGCAAGTACCTCTTCAAGTTCATTCAAATCCTCTTCTGTTAGGGATATTATTGCATACACCATTCATTACACATTTAATAGTTTATTTGCCTATAAATCTCTACTTTACTTTGATGAAAGTTTCATGTGACACTTGTAAACTTAAACACACAAACCTAACCCTCACAATCCTAACACCTATCACACCCCCAACCCTGATCCTAGAAACCTAACCCTCACAATCCTAACACCCCCAACCCTAACCCTCACACCCCTAACCGCCCACCCACCCAAGCCACTCTCTCTCACACAAACCACCCCCTCACACCCCAATGATTCCCTGCTACCAGAATGGACCAATCCAGCTGTAGTTAGCTCCAATAAGTATGGTTTCAAGTCTGCCGCTATTTCTGGATAGTTTAATTTTTTAACTGGGATCCAGCCAAACTTCCGACACAGCATCCGTACATAGAGTTTTTTAGCTGAGCCTGGAGAGAGTAGTTTAATATGAGTGTGGGTGCTTAATTAGGATCAAAATAGCAATTAACTCTAGTTTGTGTCTAGGTAATTCATTGGGCTGATCTAGTAATTAACTCTAGTATTTGATATGTGTAGGTATTTGATATGGACCAACTACAACAGTTGGGGAATGGACAGGGCAAAATTAAAATAAACAAGAAGTTCTGAAAACAATGTGGAGATGTAGGGCCATATCATGAAGAAACTGGCAACAAGTATTAACCAGACAAGGAATATTATGCCATCCACAAGAAAAAGTGGGAAACCCAAAAGCGCCTGACAGAGAAATTGAATGACATGAAATTATTGGAGGGAGTTGGAAAGCAATGTAAAAAAAAACTGAAAAAGACAAAAAAAGGCTGAAAGGATGTTGTGAATGGCCTATGCTCCAAGGGGGATGAAAAAGGCAAAGAAGAAGGAAGTAGGTAGTTAATTAGTTGATAGTCATAGGCTAATGAGATGTAGTTATCAAAAACTCACTTGAAAGCTTATGGTAAGAAGAAATGACTGCCCTGTCGTCAGAGTTGAATAGGGGCACATAACTCTTATCTTCAGTTACAGCCTTAAGTAGCGTTTCAAAGTTGTTTAAGTAATACGGCACTTGCTTATCTGAGCTGCTTTCTGAGACAGATCCAGTCAAGGTCAATTCCAATTGTCTGTCACATCTATTGTCTGTATGTAATTCCAATTGTCTGTCACATCTATTGTCTGTATGTAATTCCAATTGTCTGTCACATCTATTGTCTGTATGTAATTCCAATTGTCTGTCACATCTATTGTCTGTATGTAATTCCAATTGTCTGTCACATCTATTGTCTGTATGAAATTCTAATTGTCTTTCATGTGTTGTAGTTGTAGATTCTTCTATCTTGAGTTGTTTTCCACACTTTGATTTTTTAAGAGAAAGTTTTCTTTTTCCTTGACCAATACTTGTTGTCCTCGCCATGTTTTGTGAAATATTCTCAACTTGTATTATTTGAACATCATCATCATGATCGGGGGCAGTAGATAACTTTTTTGGAACTTCTTTTTTCTTCCACAGCTCATTTAGGGTTACCTGAGATTTTTCTTTAATAAACTCCGACATATCTGAAAACAATTGTAAAACTTTTAGAAAAGATAAAAATGTAGATATTAAATTTCATATTACAATTCATGAAGTAGTATTATGTAACGCACTAAATGAAGAAAATACAATGACATCCACATTGCTAAAACATATTCAACTGAGCAATGTCAAATCATATTCTGGCTAATAATATCCTAGAAAAAAATGGATAAGTTTTAATAACAGTAGAGCAAATAAAACTAATGAATTCAATTATTTTAATGTTAATGCTAAAGGTGGTAATTTAAAAAGAAATTAAACTTGCAATAAATATTGGTGTTTAAGTCTATATTTAAATTATTAATCTACCCTAAATTTTTTTTTCTGTTCATAATTAAAAAAGATTAGGATTCAGATTATTTATATTTTCTGATTACTCAGAGTTTTATAGCATTTATTTATATATATCTATTAAAATCACTATTTTTTGTTTGTTTTTGGTGTTATTTAAATTAGATTTAAGAGTATGAATAAAATTAATGAACCAAAAAGTTCTTAATTGTTTGCGGCAAGGGATACATTAAAAAAAAAAAAAGATGCTATTGTTACGATCCCAAGGGATCTTTACCTGTGTTTGGCCCCATCGAGGAGACAGGTGACCAGCGCTTGAATAGCCGGCCAGGTAATTAAGATGAAATGCGGAGGCATGTTTATGTACTGGCCAGTATAGGCCGTGAGAATCTAAGGTTCTGGCCAACCACACTGTTAATTGGATTCCACGCTGTGGGCGGTGCAGAATTGGAGACTTTGAGACTCGGCTAGTAACGTGGCTAACAGCCCATAAATTACCTTGTGACGCCACGGGATACCCTTGATGCTTGACCTAGGCTAGTAATGTGGCCAACAGCCCATAAATTACCTTGTGACGTCACTGGCTGACCCTTGATGCTTGACCTAGGCAAGTAAAGTGGCCAACAGCGCATAAATTACCTTGTGACGCCACTGGCTGACCCTTGATGCTTGACCTAGGCTAGTAATGTGGCCAACAGCCCATAAATTACCTTGTGACGCCACAGGCTGACCCTTGATGCTTGACCTAGGCAAGTAAAGTGGCCAACAGCCCATAAATTACCTTGTGACGCCACAGGCTGACCCTTGATGCTTGACCTAGGCTAGTAATGTGGCCAACAGCCCATAAATTACCTTGTGACGCCACAGGCTGACCCTTGATGCTTGACCTAGGCAAGTAACGTGGCCAACAGCCCATAAATTACCTTGTGACGCCACTGGCTGACCCTTGATGCTTGACGTAGGCTAGTGACGTGGCCAACAGCCCATAAATTACCTTGTGACATCACGGGCTGACACTTGATGCTTGACCTAGGCTAGTAACGTGGCCAACAGCCCATAAATTACCTTGTGACGCCACGGGCTGACCATTGATGCTTGACCTAGGCTAGTGACAGACTGTGGTTTACGGCTGGGAAAACCTTCCAGATCGGACGGGGACAAAGTAGACGGTTATGGATGGATCTGACCTAGGGTCAGGCTCTAATTAAAATTGGTCCCACGGTGACGAACGGGGGACAAGTACTTTAGGAGGGTAGACAGCAGACTAGGGAGACACACACACGGAGACACTCACTCGGATAGCTAATGAGGAGGCATGGACTTCAGTTGTTGTAGATAGTTGTGTATTTTTCTTATTGTGTTCCATGTGGTGGCGGGTTAACGTTACGTGTTGTATTTTGTGGCAATAAATAGAGATCATTGAGACTGGTGTTTATTTATTTTAATTTTATTTTTCTTGTTCACGATTCCCTGACTAATTCAAAAGGATTAGAGAAGGGTATCGTAATACTATATTATATTTACCTGTGACATTGTTAGCTTAAATATAAGAGAAAGTTATGATAAATGCAATGGGACGGCGTGGCCTAGCGGTGGACATTAGACTGCTAACGCCATAGTTTTGAGTTCGGAACCGGGTTCAATCAAGTTAGTGCAATGTCCCTGAGTCCACCCAACTCTGATGGGTACCTAACTCACGTTAGCGAAGTGAAGGCGGCTGGGCATAGTGCTGAACAGATTATCCCTTTATATGCAGAGGTCAAGAAACATATGAGCTACACTTCATCTGCCCAATGGATTGTTAGGTCTAAAGAGGAATCTTTTTTTTTTACGTTATGATAAATGCAATGATCAGAGTTACGATTTTTCCCCACACAAACTTTCCAGGAGCATTCTCAACAACTCCTCAAAGTTTAACGGTGAAGGGATGAAACTAAGGTATAGTAATGCATGAAGGACAGACCCACCCACACCCACATACTTTCACTTCACTTTTATGTATTATCTATAGATCTATATATAATTCTCTTCTAGGAGACGATAGAAAACAAGCTGTAAACGCGCTCCCTACCATCCCCACCCCTACATGGTCTTAGTGAGCTGTGGTTCTTGCTATGGTTACCTTCGTGAAGTCGGGTTTAGTGACGACTATTAGGGGCAGATAATTTAGTTTGAAACTATTTTAAACATGGGGGGGGGGAGGAAGGGGGGGGGGGGTTATGGCTTGTTTAATATATATTGCCAGTAACATAATATATCTATATATAATATATAGATATGTTATTTATGTTCCTGGCAAAGTATGAAACTCCAGCATTCTATAGAATACCTAGACAATGTATACAATCCTTGTTGTTTTCAGGCAATGTATACAATATCAGCATTGTTAAATACTTTTCCTAGGCATTATATTAAATGCCTAGGCATAATAAAAATGACAAGAACTGCTCAGGCCAAGTTTGAAATCCCTAGAGTGGAAATGTCTTTGGTATCAAAACACTAAAATAATGAAAGAATAAATACAAAATGAACAAGAGAAAATCTTTACTAGGAGAACAAACAAATCAGAAGCATTATTACTAACTATCTCTTGCAGCATGGAAGGCTAGAATGTCATTTTGAACTGCGCTTAATTTTTTTTCTAATCCTAACCTTAAACCTAACAATGGTGAAGGAATGTTCTGGCGGGAATGTGCATTACACACGCTGTCTATTTGTTATTTGGTATTCTATAGAATGACTAGGAAATGTATGAAATAAGACAGAAATAGGATGCATTTCATACTTTGTAAGTATTCTATAACATGCTGGTTTTTGCACATTGCCGGTAACATATTTAAAGTGGTACCTGGACATAAGAGAACCCTGACTTACAGGGTATTTAAGATATGAGATCTCGAGCAAGCAAAAATTGCTTTGACATGTGTGAAATTTTTTTTATACAAGTAACCGGATTAGTGAGTTGCACTGTTTGTGGGAAAAAAACACCCTGAAAAAGTTGCAACAGATGGTGCATTGAAGGTATTTAATGGCACTGAAGTAACTCATTTTTTAAACTTTCTGAAAGAGATGAAAAAACAAACCTCTTGGACAATTATTTAAAAAGCCTGTGTGAAGTAGTGCAGAAAGCTTGGCAGAAAATTTAAGACCAGCAAAGAGAAAAGCAGTGATGGAACTCAAGCGAAAGTAACAAAACATTATAAAGGTTCAATTATATTTGGTGACATCAAAGTTCTGAAAAATGTATGGATGAACAAAACATTATATAGGTTCAATTTGGTGACATCAAAGTTCTGAAAAATGTATGGATGAACAAAACATTATATAGGTTCAATTATATTTGGTGACATCAAAGTTCTGAAAAATGTATGGATGAACAAAACATTATATAGGTTCAATTAAATTTGGTGACATCAAAGTTCTGAAAAATGTATGGATGAAGTCCGGCATTAAGAGAGTAAACAAGCAAGTGAATTAAAAAGAGCTTATAATGAACAGAGAGTAAGTGAACCAAGTGAGGCTCCACCACCTATCTACACACTACATTAAGCCTATGGGAAGGAGTGGTCTAGCTGTAGAGAGCTGGACTGCTAACCCATAAGTCTCGAGTTTAAATCCGGGTTTAAGTCAGTAGACCGTCCTTGAGTCCACCCAACTCTGAAGGGTACCTAACTCACGTTAGGGAAAGTAAAGGTGGCTGGGCATAGTGCTGACCACACTATCTCTTCATATGCCGAGGTCATAGAAACAAGTGAATTCTACTTCACTTGCCCAATAGACCGTCAGGTTTGAAAAGGAAACTTTACTTTTACACTAAGCCTACACTTCTACCAGAATCTTCCATAAACTGAAGTCAGCTGACTTTCAAGATAAATATACTCTTTCAAACCAGTTCATTTCGATGCATTATTCTTTATTATGTTGGTAAACAATATTTGCAATTTTTAAATACACTTTTCTTATTTAAAAAAAAAAACACGTAAAAAATTGGGTGGTATTTTGGGGGCTGGAACAAATTAATAGCATTTCAATTAATTTCAGTAGAAAAACTGCAGAGAGAGAATGGCATTTTGACATACAAGCAATGTTAGGGATAAAATTATTTATAAATTAAACTCTTAGCTCAAGGTACTACTGAAAATATGTATTTTTCTAATCAAGATAATCCATTTAAAATAGGCTAATTATTATCATTTTGATTACAATTTTAATTAGGCCTATTCGCAAAATAATAGCTAATTATAGCTATAGGCCTAATTAAATTTTATGGATTATTTCAGGTGCTGATATTATTGTAAGTTTTATTTGTGATAAACTGTGATATGATTTTTCAAAAAAAAATTTGTTTTTAAATTGATTTGCAGTTGCTTTTTTTTTGTTTCTGGGCCAGGCAATAGAAAGAAATAAGAAAGTAAAATAAAATTTTAATGAAGGATAATTGGAACTAATCAAGTAAAATTAAAGAGAGGGGTGCTGTTCTATATAGGTCAGTATGCAGACCGAAAATCTATGTTGTTTTTTAAGATATTAAAATGATTCTTTGCTAGAGGGTAGGGGCAACAGAAATATGCAAGTAAAAAAATTAAACTAAGTATGGTTATACTGGTGTCCGATTATGAAATCTTCTTTAAAAAAGGGGTGTTAGGTTTCTGGTAGTTAACTAAATAAATACACTCATGGCTGGCTAATGTCAATGCTAACCCTGTCCCTAACCCCAACCCAGGTCCTACAATACGCCTAACCCTAATTTCTAACCATAAAATTAGTCGAGATTGCAATACTACTAACAACCCAACACCCCTTTTTTAAAGAAGATTCCATAATCGGACACCCATATCTATTATAATCCCAAAAACCTTAAAGTTCTCGTAAAAGTTTATTAAGCTAGATCTAGATCTAAGTGTTTAGTTGTACCACACAGTGGCGTAGCGAGGTCGGGTGTCACCAGGTGCAGCACCTGATGGTGTCACCCCCCCCCCGTAGGAATATATATATATATATATATATATATATATATATATATATATATATATATATATATTTCATATTGTGACCTACTTAGGTCGAGTCATTTTTATTTTGACATTGTATAATTCCTTATATGGAATGATGGTGTAACACCTGGGGTTTTTCCACTGACTTATTAAGGTGTTTGAGACATAGAAATTTTCCATTAAAATCTGATTGAATGATTCTGATCAGATGATTATCCCAACCAATGGCGACATGAGTTGAGGATAACCTCCCCTGTCACAGAAGTCTTTAATTGCACTGCACACTCGCAACACGAGGCAGTTTTTCTTGACCTGGCAGTCTACGGGGCAGTTTTACCTTGATCAGGCAGCCGTCCATATTGTCCGGCTATAGACTCTGACCATTTGAACGTGAGAGTACTTAAGACCTGTGTGTGCCTTGCTTTCTTCAGTTGATTTAGTCTTCTAGTTTAATATTACTTGTCGCTAAGTAATTCTAGAAACTACAGCAGTGTTGTGTGGCCTGTAGCTGTTCTTTAGACAGTGTAGAAATCTGTGATAGTGTTTTTTCCTACATTGTGTAAGTTGGGTTTTGATATTTTATACATTAAATATTTTATTTAGTTCAA